CACTTTACACACAGCTGTGGGGTTTATTAGGGAAATAGATCACCAGCCAGGCACAATTCGTCAATTAGTTCAGACAGCCTCTCAGTCAACAAGTGCAAGTCCAGGTTCAGTTCAGCAGCACAAATAAACTTCTGGTTTCCTCAATTAATCCAACAAATTTTATCTCAGAGCAATTACAAGTCAACTTTTCCTTCCAACATCCAGCAAGCAAAACTTTTTTAACTGTGGTTCCATCTCCAGGATTCCTCAGGTTACATCTTGCCAGTCTCTCAAACACTGTCTCTCACAGTGTCATGACAGTTCTCTCACAGTGTGGAAAGCACTTATATTGGTCCCACAGCTGTTGATAATTTGCAAGAATTTATGTTGCTGATAAGGTAGCTAGAGACCATGCTCCCAAATGGGGGCTAATGTAATGGCTAGAATTTGGGGACTAATATAATGGCAAGAAAAGCCAATTTTCTGACACCGCACTCAGAATCTCTGCTGTAATTATGCTCATCGTTACACTCATTGTTCACTATTTTCTTCTTCACTGATTCTCTACTTTTTCAAGCATGATGTCATTATCCAAGGACAGACTATTCCTGGTAGCATGGCCAAGAGTGAGATGAAGCCACATCATCCCTGCCTCTAAGAAGCACCCTAGCTACTCCTTAAATTGTCTTCATATTTTCCGAGCCCTTTAACCTCTTTAAATTGTTATCTGACAAATTCATGACTTAAGGTTTCTTTTTTCACCCTTAATTTACCCCATTTCCCAGTCACTGCTCCTATCCAACAAAACCCAATCTGATGTTTTCATTTTCCCCTTTCCTCAGTTTTGTTAATATGATCTTAAAGAGAGAGGAAATATTAAGGTTCAGGACAAAGGAAATAAATCACACCATTCAGGTTAATGGGTGCTAAAAATAACCTATTTAGTTCTGTTCTCACAATCCATCTGGAACTCTTTCCAATAATGTAAACTTTGGAAAGAATTTTGAGAAATATAATAACAAACATAAATTTGGGTTGTCATTAAGAGAAACTAGAAAATAGTGGTAGACTATTTAGGACTTAACAATATCTTTTTAAATAGACAGCAAATATTTGCTTTTTGCAAAGTGTGGGTGTCAGGGAAGCAGTGTCTGTCCTCCACTAATGAGCAAGAACCCCCCAACAGCACAAAGCCAATTCCTGAGATCAGATAGGCTCCTATACTCCACTCCCTCTATCAATTTCAACACAAAATTACTCCCGCAGCACTCATTACTTCTCTGCTGGGTTCAATAACTTGTTGCAAGGGCCACAGAGAACTCACACAATAGCCAAGTTCAGGTAGACTCATGATTGATATAGTTCTTCAGCAGTCAGGCATGCTCACAGACAAGCCTCTCACTGACCCTCAACCTTGACCACAGCCTGTCCTGCTTGGATAAATGGTCAAAGCAGTTCTATGCCGTGGTGTGTGCCATCAGGTATGTTACAAAGCTCGTTTAACTCTTTAACTCCTACTCTACCAGTAAGCCTAGGGATGAAGCTGTTTGCTTCTACTACATAGGCCTAAAGCCCAAAATTCTCCCTCTGGTCTCTGGTCTTCCACCACCTCTGCTGCTACCTCATGTCATCTATCTCCTTGGGTTTATGGTTTTCCATTTGTAGCTCATGCAGGGTCCAAAGAACACACTGCACTTTTTCTCTGGTTCTTTTTTCCTGATAATGAGATTCCTCCTTTTGATGTCTGAGCCAGCTCAATTTAACCCTGGCAGAGTAGCATAAATGACCAATCCCCACTTTAGCATTCTACATCATATTTGCATGATCCTACCCAAAATGTACTATTTACCTAATTTCATTGTTAACAAAGTAACCAAATCTTTGGCTGCAAACACCTCACATTTGCATGGTTTTACACAGCTATGTGCTTGTTGTTGTTATGTGCCATCAGATCACATGTGACTCAGAGTGACCCTATCTATGTACAACAGCCCTAAACCTGCACTATCCTGTGCCAATCTTATTGTCTCTGACACACATACTCCCATTACCCCAGTCACTGAATCAATCCATCTCGAGGGTCTTGCTCTCTTGTGCAGTCCCCTCCACCCTCCCAAGCATGATGTCCCTCCCTAAGGATTAGTATCTCCTTGCAACATGTCCAAAGTACGTCAGACAAACCTTCAGAATCCTTGCCTCCAAGGAGTAGACTAGTCTCACTCTCACAAAAAGATTAAACTATTTGTTCTCTTGACAGTCCATAGTATATTCAATACTCTTTTCCAGCACCACAACTCAAGGGAACCAATATTCCTTCTATCATTACTAGTAATTGTCCAGCTTTCTGATGGATAGCAAGTAATTGCAAAAGACTATGACCTGGATCAAGTGTGTCTTAGTCTCCAGACCCACGCCATTGCTCTTCTCTGACAGCCAACTTTCCCAATGCAATTTGTGTTTTAATTTCCTGGCTGCTGGTACCACAAGTGTTGACTGTGGAACCAAGCAAATTGAAGCTGTTAACAATCTCTTCATCATCTATTATGATGCCGCCAATGGGCCCAATGGTGAGAATCTTTGTTTTCTTGATGTTGAACTTCAGTCCATATTGAAGACTGAACTCCTGGACCTTCAGAAACAAGCATTTCAGGGCCTCCTCAATTTCAGCAAGCAGGGTTGTGTCATCTGCATAACACAGATTGTTGATGAGTCTTCCTCCAATCCTGATGCCACATTTCTCCTCACAGAGCCCAGCCTCCCAGATAATCTGTTCCCCATATAGATTGAAAAGGTATGGAGATAAGACATATTCCAGGCATACACCCTTCCCAATTTTGAACCATGCAGTGTTTCCTAGCTCTGTTCTGACAACTGCCTCCTGGCCCAAGTATAGGTTTCACATGATCAACTATTTTGGGATTCCCATTCTTATCAGAGTCAAGCCACAGTTTGTTGTGATCCACACAGTAAAACACCTTTGCTATGTTATGTGGTAAAAGTACCAAATAAAATGGCTAAAAAAGCCATACCAAGTACCATCCTGCACTGAATTTTTAAAACAATGATCATAAAACTCAGAAGGCAGGAAGGCATAGGGAAGAAAAGACGAAAATAGGAAGCTGTGGGGAAGTGGGAAGAATGCTGTTAACATATGGGAATTGCAACCAATGTACAAATTGTAATGGAAAACTTGCTTTGTAAATTCTGCCCAAATCAGAATGGAAAACATCCATGGGATCTGAAAAGATGGGGTTATGGTAGGCACAGATCAATGATCTTATAAAAAAGACTGAGCTTCTAAAATATGTATAGGAATGATTATATGTAACACAATGTAAATGAAAGAATGTGTGAAGCACAATGTCCATGAATGAAACACAATGTATACAAATCTAAGTTATTTGTGATCCTTACACATCTCAATCCTACAGAAAAGTCGTACCACCACAATCCTATCGTCTGACAACTTCTGACAAGTACAAACTCATTGCCCTTTTTATTTATTCCAACTCAAAGCTGAACCTTCACTGAGTTTTTGAGCCTGTAAATCTCTATGGAAGAGACTGCTTAATCTTCTTCCCACAGAGTGACTGGTGCATCCAAAACAGTCAGCCTCTCGGCCAGCAGACCAAAACGTAACACAACGGGTCCTTTAGGACAACCTGTTAATGAAAATAAAATTTACTGATCTCTTTGTTGTTGTTGTGAGTCGGAACCAACCCACAGCTGACCCCTGGAAGGTTTTCCGAGGCAGTAAATCGCACAGGAGATTGCCCCTCCTTCTGCAGAGCAGCTGGTGGATTCGAACTGTGTCTTCCAGATTGCAGTACAGCTTCATACCACTAGGCTATCAAAGGTCCCTGATCTCCTCTTTAGCTAGAATTTTAAAATTTCCATATTTTTGTCAATATTTAAATGTTATATAAAATTAAGTTTAAAAACTCATTATTTTCTCATAAACTGTATTTTCAGACACAAAGAATATTTAATGATGATCAATGATCTATATAGCTTGTTAGAAAGACCACCCATCTTTTTAATCTGCTAACTAAAACTAGGAAGTTGGTGTTTAACTTTGCTGGGGAAGTCCAAAACCTATATTCGTTTGGATTCCTAAATATCACCAAAACTTAAACAACAAAAGAGCTGTAATGTAAGCATAGTTTCTCTTTTGACACTGACATTTGGAACCAGGCAATTCTTTGTTTGAGGGAGGATGTTTAACAACATTTCTGGCCTCTATCCACTAAATGTCAATAGAACCCCATCCAAACTACCAGTTAGTTACAAAACCACCAATATGTCTCCAGACATTGCCAAATGCCTCATACAGACCAAAATCAAATATAGTTGTAAAGTGAAAACCAGTATTACAAAGTGATAAAGTCTGGGTCTGATACGAATGGAAAATCTCCATGGCAGCAACCTCACAGAGGTTGTCAATCTCATCATGCGTTTCCTCAGTTTCTCCTCAAGTTTCATTTCCTCAAGGTACAAATGATACTCCAGAGACAAGAAATTTTTTTTATTGCCCATTTTTTAAAAAATGTAATGTTTCATAAAATAAAACAAACTTTTAGTACCGTAGAAATCTTTTGACATGTTCAGCAACATATTATTACTATGCACAACTTCATAAACAAATGCTTCTAGCTCAAGTATAGTGATGCTGAACATCTTGACTATACTTAAGCTGTAAAAAGTTTCCTGGATAGCCAATATTTTCCTTGGCTTGGGGAAGAAAAAATAATATATATATCTATATGTATATATATATACACACACACATACAATTGGGGAAATATAAATAAGACCTTCAATGAATTGAGAATTGGGAAAAAAATGACTTCTGAAGTTCTGACCCCTGGATCTTAGGGAGTCTATAGTAGTTAAAAGATTCAAGAAGCAAAATGAACCCTGTAGGTGTTCAAACTTCAGTCTCCCAAGTGAGGTCCTTCAGATTCACAGTTGATTTATCAAAAATAAAAGCTATTTCTATGATGATAGCACACGGCATTGGCTCATATACCATTCTTCACCAGCTCGTGGATTCCATTCTCATCAATGATTAAAGGTGCATGGAATTCTTTATCTGCCACATAACTTTCTAGCCCCTACAAGGAAGACAGAAATGAAAAACAGTAAATTGGTAGATTAATATAAATGACAATGTTCAATTTCCAGGGCTATAAAAATAGATGCTAGGAGTCAGGTTAAGATACAGAAGTCTGAAACAAATCTACTTGGAAGATTTTTTTAAACTGAATTTAATGACTCCACTTTATAAAACGAATGAAGAAAAATATTCTAATTATAATTTCTAAAGTTAATACGATATTCATTCTTACTATAATCATCACCCTGTAGAGTTTTTTTTTTAGGCAAAAAACCTTTTTTAGGCAAAGTCCTATCTCTGACCACAGAAGTAACCAATACTAATGAACAAGACCTCTGGGAAAAAAGAATACTACACGTTTCAAATGTTAAAGATTCCTAAATCCCCAGTTTTAAAACTGAAAGCATCAAGTACATGAACAAAATACTCTGAGAGGAAACAATTATACTGCATTAAAAAGAGCCATAAGTTAATGACATATTTTTTTTTAAATCCCATTGTATTTCCATGCATAACTGAAACGGACTAGATAGTCAAGATTTCTGTTAATGGTAACTAAATTATGGGATAAAAGCAATGCTATTAACAGGAATTCTCAAAGGGGATTAAAAACAAATGCAGATTTTCAGTTCATTCTCAGGATTAGCTCCTGAGGACAAGACCATTAGAAAATGCTGTATCTCCTTTAGAGATAACTATACTTTAAAACACTAGGATCCCACTTTTGAACGGAAAGCTGTACAGACTTACTTCTCCAGCATAAGAGATAAGGGGAGAGATTTCACACTGGATTGGTACATCATTGGCATCCTTCAAGCTAAGAAAAAGCACAAACAACTGTTAAAGATACTGCTTCCCATGTTATTTGCCACTGAAAATACTGTAACTTTCATCAGAGAAGCTTACAGATGAAATTCCCCTAGTTGAGCAAATAGAAGGGACCCTATCTTAAGGATCACTAAAACCCTGAAGAATAAGGTAACAGTTTTAGAATGGTCAGAAAGATACTACTATTTAAACAAGGGAAAGGAACTACTGGTAGCTCTTAAAGCATGTCATGAATATCAATGCACTATCCACAAAGTACATCTTACTATTTTATCATTTCCAAATCTAAATTAAATAAAGAGGGAACTACTTAATGAGCATATCCTATCTGCCAGGTCCAGCCTTCAGGGGCTCTGAAGCCTTCATATTTCACCTTGACCTTCACTGCAATCTTGCCATTTAGACAGTACAAGTGACAAACATTCTAAAGCTTCACTGACCAGCAAAATACCACCAGCCACATATGCCTATTTAAACTTAAACTAAAAAAATATATATAAAAATTCAGTCCTTCAATTATAACAGCTCTATTTCTTGTACTTGGTGGCCACAAATACCTATCAAACTGGACAACACAGGTATAGAACAATTCTTTCACTGTTAGAGAATTCTATTAGACAGTACTGTTCTAAAAGTCAGCTATATTATTTTCCAGTACATATATTTCTATATATTCCATATTTTTTAATTGGTTGAGCTGATTTAGATTATTTTTTGTTACTTTTTTATAACATTTAAAAATCTCCTTTTTAAAGGGCTACCACAGAAAGCAATCCAGTGAAGGCCAGGCCAGAGCCACCATCTGCTTCCTTTAAGGTCATTCATGCTCACATTTTCAGTCATTTGCCTCCTGACCTTATAGACTATCTTACACAAGTCAATGAACAGTGTTTCTAATGTTTACACTCATTTACTTCCTAGATTTCTCACTGTTTAAAGAATTTTACCAACAGGATACAAGGCAAAAAAATCTAGTCTCCTGATGCAAACTACAGCTCTTCTTTGCTTTTAGTATGTAGGCTCAGGCTTTGATGGAAAACCAAAGGCCCCAGGTCTACTATTCTCTAACGAAAACCATTTATATAGGCACTCAAAGTGGTCTACATGTGAAGACATTGATTTTCTTCTGTCATCCTCTGATGGACAGCAAGTAACTGCAAAGACCATGGCCTGGATCAAGTGCATTTTAGTCTCTAGACTGACATCATTGCTCTTTAGCACTCTGCAGAGGTCCCTAACAGCAAACTTTCATAATGAAATCTGTCTTTTGATTTCCTGACTGTTGGTACATAATGTTGACTATGGAGGCAAGTAAGCTGAAATTGTTAACAATCTCAATCTCTTCCCCATCTATCATGATGCTTCCAATTGGCCCAGTGGTGAGAATCTCTGTCTCCTTGATATTGAGCCTCAATCCATATTGATGACCTCAGTCCTTGACTTTCTGCAGCAAACACTTCATGTTATTGACAGTTTCAGCAAGCAAGGTTGTGCCATCTGCATTAACACAGGCTGTCATGAGTCTTCCTTCAATCCTAATACCATACTACACCACATAAAGTCCAGTCTCTCTACTGATCTGTTCCGCGTATGGATTGAAAAGGTATGAAGAAAGGATACATCTCTAAAATACTCTTTCCTTGATTTTGAACCATGCTGTTTCCTTGCTCGGTTTGAATGACTGCTTCCTTTTCTAATTACAGGTTTTGCATGAGTACAATCAAGTGTTCTGGGATTCCTATTCTTCTCAATGTTAGCCACAACTTGTGATTCATACAGTCAAATGTCCTTGCATAGCTAATAAAATGCCAAGTACATATTCTTCTAGTACTATTCTTTCAGGCAAGATCCACAGGACATTGGTGACCATGTCCCTAATGCCACAAAGTCTTTCTTCTAAACCCAGCTTGTATTTCTGGCATTTCTCTGCTGATGTATTGTTCCAGTTGTTTTTGGTTCATCTTCAACAGGATTTTGCTTGCATGTAAAATTAATGACATTGTTTGATAATTTCCACACACTACTGGAACACCCTTTTGGGGAATGGGAATAAATATGGATCAGTCTGACACTACATAATATTTGTACCACATATTTTAACTTAGATCCATAATCAATGCCCATGGAAACTGCAATCAAGAAATCAACTGGTTGCACTGGGAAACTCTGCTGCAGCAGAGCTCTAAAACAGATTTCAAAAGTAAAAATGTCGCTTTGAGGACTAAGGTGGGCCTGCCTCAAGCCACGGTATTTTCAAAAGGCTCATATGCATGTGAAAAGTAGCACAAGTCATTACAAAAAGTAAAGTACTATTGATGCCTTTGCATTGTTGTTTGATGAAGAATATTGAATAGACCATGCTCTACTTGGAGAATGAACCAATCTGTCTTGGAGGAAGTACACTTGAAATGATCCTAATAAGGGAAAGTGGTGAGAGTTGATCCCACTTGATCCTCTTGGTCCCCACAGAAGAACATCAAGGACTGGTAAAAAGAAGGGAACACTCAAGGAGATCAACTGACACAATGCCTGCAACACAGGCTCAAACACAGCAACAAATGTGAGGAGAGTGAGGGACCAGTAATGCTTTTTTCAGTTATACACAGGTCGCTATGAATCAGAACTAACTCAATGGCATCTAATGAACACCACCACTGCCGCCACTGCCACCACACACTTAGCACACAACAGCACAGTGACAGATGATTTATTTAGCTTTTATGTGTGTGTACCTTGAATCTCCCAGTAGGCTCTAAAAAATTGACATGTTTATCTTACGATACTTCAGTACTCAACACATTGTCGAGGATGTTACCATGCTTACAAAAAGTTGTTGGAAGCTAAATTTTTATAAATATCATTTCCTTTCTAAAAATCACAAAGATATCCCAAGAAACCAAGAAAGTTAACAAACTGATTTGAATGCTTGGAAAGAAGGAAGACAGAAACAACCATGATCAAATGTATAATCTCAGCTTAAGAGGTTAACTAAGTATGTGCAGTTACTTCATTCCTCTCAAATCTTCAGCCAAACATCTTTTTAACATCTAATAACATTCAGGAGATTATAAAATGAAAGTCATTTTGTCAAAACTCAGCATCTTTGTTTCAGTTCTTTAGGATTTCTCCAATTTATCTTTTTCACCAGCAGCTTCTAGGGAGAAAGATGGACAATTTCTTCCCATGAGATTCATAGCCTCGGAGACTCAATAGAAGGTCAGCTATGAGTTGGTTCCAACTTGATGGCAAAGCATTTTTTTAAATGGGAGTTCTTTTCTGTCTTTTACTTTTTAAGTAATCACTACAAAGAGTTTTATGTGGGGGGGGGTGTTTGGTTGCGGTTGTGGTGGGGGTGAGGGTGGGTTGGTGGTGGTGGTGGTGGTGGTGGACCATCAAGTAGGATCCAACTGGCACAGGAGGAGACTCCCCTCCTTCTCCAGCGGAGCATCTGGTGGATCCGAACCAAGTGCAGTCAGGACTGCAGTGCAGCTTCTTGCCACTAGGCCATCAGAGCTCCCTCTACAAAGAATTTTAAGTAATCTTTTTCCAAAATCTAAGGCCATCCTTTGGTGCTAAAGATTCCAGAAAGAACTATGTCTTAATCTAATATCTTACTAGGGTCCAAACTTCTTATTTCCATTTAAATAATCTACAAATGGCTGAAATAAAATAAGTCTGTATATAGGGGAGAAGATAAAAGGCCCCAAAGAAAATTTTTTTAAACATTATTTAGTTCTTCAGTGCTTAAAATTTTTTATATCTTCCCTGAGACAGCTAATTGTTTCCAAGAGTAGAATTAAGAAGGGAGCTCTAGTGGCCTAGTGGCAAAAAATCTGCACTGGAATCCCGAAAACATCCAGTTCAACTCCACCAGCTACTCTACAGGAAAAGGATGGGCAATCTCCTCCCATTCATTTACTGCTTCTGAAAACCCAGCTGGAGGGTGAACTATGGTCAACTCAATGGTACACAGCAACAAAATTAAGACATTATTTTAAGCCAAAATTTGCAGTTGAAAAATAAAAAAATTAAGGGCTAAACTATTGTGTATCATTTCTTAAATTATAAAAATAACCTGTTTTCACAAACTGAAAATTACTGAAACAGATGACAGGGCACTGCACCTAGTTCCTACAGCATAGGAGACAATGCTCATTCTGAGGCTCTGACAAAAAATTATCCAATTTATTAGCCCACTCTCTCTTCTGCAAGGTCACATCACAGAAGTACTGACACTTATATGGATGTATCTCTAAAGGAAGCAGCAGGAAAAAGTATGTGCATGAAATTAGCCTTAGTCCTATTTCTAAAATAACTTTCATCCCCAGATCTTTTCCCTGTATACATTTCCCCAGTTATCTTAAAAAATTTCAAACCAAATGCTGTTTCTTATTGTTAACTGCCATCGAGTTGGGCACGATTCATAGCGACCCTAAGAACTAAAGACCTGAAGCCTTTCTATAACTATTGTCATTTATCAAAGTTCAAAGAGTTTCCAGAGACATGTTATTTAGGAAGTGGATGCCACTCCTGCTTCCAAAATCCAAATGTAGTACTTTTAAACTATAGCAAGAATGTTAAGCTGTTTCCTTAGCACAAAAATGTCTTTCTCAGCTCTTTGTTAGTATCCAGATGAAAGAAAACATGTACTAGCTCTTGCTAAAAACTACCTGCCAATAAGACAAAAAGATACATTCTTCATGATCAGGGAAATAATGGAACAAAATTAATGACCACAATGGAGCACTGTTAGTGTGAAAGCAAATAAAAAGTATAGTTGGCTCCAGCGAGACAGATCTGTGGGAGGGCATTTTCACCTCCGTAGGCTTAAGCTACATGGGATTAGCTGGGATCCGAATGTCTCCTCCCTGGCCTGTCACCCACTCTAAAATCTTATGTACCACTTGTACAATATTTATGTACCACCTGCAGGCTCAAACACTCGAGTGGAATCTAAAGCCGGGGGACTGAGGACTCAATAAGCAAGGTAAGCAGGCTGTGTGAAACTGTCCACTACAGAGTAGTAAGTAAGCACAGTAAGCCCATCTTTATCTTGCTTACTAGCTTCTCTGTTCCTTTCTGGGACTGTAAATGTCAAAAGAACCTAACTGTACAGCAAGGGGCTGTGGGGTTGGGAGAGAGAGCTGTCACATCTAGAATCTATGATGTGGTCAAAACGTGAACTTGTTCACTGAAGATTAGAAAGAAAGCACGAGGAAGCCTCTGCTTACCTTATTGAGTAATCCAGCACCAGGGGAAGCATGCTCCCTGTTTCCAGCATGCACTAAGATTCTGAGTTAGTAACACCCAGACAGAAACCTGCCACCAAGAAAGTAGGACACCCCCACCAAAGTGTCAACCATCCTCCCCCACCTTCCCGAGAGGCGGACCACTAACTACAATGCCAGTTAGTACAGAGGAAAGCACAGGCCCGTCACCATGCACTGCAGGCAAGCTGCGGTATATTTACTTGAGATTGACATCAGCTCTGATGGTCTCTGACTTCCCATTTGTAGCACCGCTATTAGAAATAAATAAGCATTAATGGAAATGGAAACAAAACAAACAATAACAATGAAGTGGGTAGCAAAGTATACTTGGTCAAATGGCAGGTATTTATGGTAAACCATGAGGGAAGGACAAACCAACCAAATGTCCAGGGATGAAGCATGAGGGCAATCAGACATGCCACACAGCAAACGTGCTGCCGAGACAGAAGCTGGCCCTGAACTGCGGGACGGAGGCTACCGCTGCTCTTATTGGAGAATGGACAGTTATGGGGCCAGGAAGTTCTAAGGTCCAATGTTCTAACTTTCATTAAAGCATTCAAGTCCATGCAGTCAACTACGTTATTCGTTATGAATACAAATTATAGGCAGGATGTTTTTCTATGTTCATGCAATCAACCACTTTATTCCTTATGAATATAAATTATATGGCAGAACGATGAAATACTTTAGTCAGTGGAGATTCTAGATGCCACTAACAGTTTAACCATAAAATATTAAGAACCAATTGACCTAAAAGTGCTTTATCTTCGGTTGAAATAGCAATGAGAACTTCCTTTTTATTAAAATAAAAAAAAACAAAACTCAACCAAACTTCTGAAAATACAAAACAGTTCTCCAATTTTATTTCAGTGAATGTAAACTGGCATTTACTGCCCTTCCTGGCAGCGACCCCAGCAACTTGAAAGTGCTGTGGTGAGAGCCGTGGAGGCCCTCCAGCTCCTAGGCAGCCTGGGGTCGGGGGTGGGGGGGGGCTTTCGTGGGTCTCCTGCAGTGCACTTAGAGGGATCACAGATACATGGGCACCAACAGTCGATCTTCTGTGGTTGAAGCATTTACTGCACAGAGACTTGGACTCTGGTATAGCATGCTACTGATCAGCTTTAACTACAAAGTATACCAAAAGAATTAGCTTCTCGCCATTACTCAGTAGCAGTCATTTCACACACAGGGAGGAGATGTGTCCAAAAAACCAAGTGGTTCAGAAGTTGGTCAGTCCTCTTGAAGAGGAAAGGAGTTATCATGATCTTTGTAATAGGCAAAGTTTTCACTATTTCACATAAGAAGCTGCCTACATCAAAACTTGACGTGTGTGAAAAAGACCTAGGAGTATATTAGAAAGAGGAAAACATCCCAAGAGGGAAAAAACAAGAAAGCATCCACATAAAAGCGAGAAGCCGCTGACTCACCGGGGGATTGCCGGAAGGTGAGAGCCATTTTCATCTATGAAGTGGCCGCCTGCATTGAGGACCCAGCAGTGGTGGAGAGACAGCAGAGCGTGTCTTGCAGTAGTAGGGTTGTCCTTCCCATTCTGGCTGTCTGCATTCTTCAGTGGGGAAAACTCATCTTCCCGCAATACTTCATACACTACAAACTTCCTAGAGTGGAATCATAAAAGAGACTTCTTTATCCTGAAATTTAAAACTGCACACAGATTTTGACTTCTCTACAGACCTAAGTCATTAGTCTTTGCTGATAGGTTCTCTTAACCTAATTTCAAATGAATGCTCAATGAAGTAATCTTTTTTGTCTGCATTTTTATAGTAGTCAAATTCTGAGACATATATCTCAACATTAAATGTCATTTTTTCTACAGAATATGTTGTTGTTATGTTCCATCAAGTGACCTTTGACTCATAGCGACCCTAAGCCTGTCTCACTGACTCCAACACACTTACTACCCTCATTACCCCAGTTACTGTATCAATCCATCTCATCTGGGGTCTTCCTCTCCTTGCTGTCCCTCCATCCTGCCAAGCATGATGTCCTTCTCCAAGGACCGGTCCCTCCTGGCCACATGCCCAAAGCATGTAAGACAGAACTTCAAAATCCTAGCCTCCAAGGAAAAACTTGGTTTCACCTTCTCCAAGACAGACCTATCTGCTTTCTTGGTGGTCCATGGTAGGTTCACTATTCTCCAGCAATTCAAAACATCTCTTCTTCTGTCATCCTTAGCCATTATCCAGCTCTCTGACTCATAGCAAGTAACTATAAAGGACCATGGCCTGGATCAAGCACACCTTAGTGCCTAGTCTGACATTACTCTTACTCTTTGGAGTGGTGGCAAACAGCAGACTTCCCCAGTGCAATTCCTTTTCTGATTTCCTAACTGCTGGTACCAACAGTGCTGATTGTGGAGCCAAGCAAACTGAAATTGTTAATAACCTCAATCCCTTCTCCATCCATCATAGTGCTGTCAACTGGCCTAGGGTGGGAATCCTTTTCTTCTTGATGTTAAGCTTCAATCTATATTGAAGACTACAGACCTTGACCTTCTACAACCCAACCTTGTGAAGTTCCAGGGCTTTGCACATGGGAAGAACCTGAAATCACCTCTGCCCTATCAAATCGGGTAACGCTCACCTCTCAAAATTCCACCAGGCTTTGTTGACAGAGCAAAAGTTGTTGCTGCTGTTATTATGTGCCATCAAGCTGCCTGCGACCCACAGTGACCCTATGTACAGCAGCTTTGAACTCTGCCCTGTCCTGAGCCAGTCTCACTAATTCTGACACATCAACTTCCACTGTCCCAGTCAATATATCCAGGGTCTTCCTCTCTTGCACTCTGCCTCCGCCCTTCCAAGCATGATGTCCTTCTCCAAGGACTAGACTCTCCTGGCCACATGCCCAAAGTCTGTGAGGCAGCACTTCAAAATCCCAGCCGCCAAGGAGAAACTTGGTTTCACCCTCTCCAAGACAGACTTATTTGAGTTTTTGGCAATCCATGATATGGTGTCTTTTGCTCTTGTGAAAAGTTGGGTTTTTTTTTCATCCCTTTTCAAAATAGCAAAAGAGAATCTAGCAATACAATCTGAACACAAAATAAGTAACTTTTTTACTTCAGTTTCTTGATCAAAATAAATGGCTTTCAACAATTTTTAAGGAGAACCAGAAGATGGATTGACTAAACAAACAAAATGCAACTCAGACCACACTCCTGAACTGGAGGTTTTAAACTATAGAATTATGAGATTGGCACAGTCATTGCACCAATGAGCCTGAGCATGGCAGATGATCCTTAGGACAGTGCAGCACAGGGTAAGGTTTTGATCCATTATTCACAGGGTCACTATGAGTTCAGTCAACTCAATACCACCCAACAACACAAGACCATACACTGTGATCAATATACTGTGCCTGACATGCATGCTAGCAAATGTCTCTCTAAAACAGATTCCTGCTAAGAATAAACTTGCATTCCAGGACATATACAATCTCACTGGTGCTATCCAAAACATACTTTGCAAACTGGAAGATGTCAAAGACAAATTTTTCCATCTTTATTCCATTTGGTTTGTCTGGCTTAATGAAGCATCCCTGGGAATCCACGTATGGAATCTTCTTTTGAGCCACATGGTGCTGCAACTGAGGTTCATAGATACTAAGAGCAAGCAAAGAAGAAAAAAAAGATAAAATCATTTTTCAGTTTTAAAATGCCAGGGGATCGATCAAATCACAGAAGCAAACGCATCAGCAACCAGCAGTAAGTTTTTCAAAGTGAAGAGCAATTGTTATGCTTCAGTTCATGTTTAAATAGAAAATAAATTTATTTCTCCATTCATTTCCTTATAGTAATCAAAGACAGAAACATATGCCTCTCATTAATGCTTCTCCATAATTCCTAGTTCTTTTATAAAATGTCTCACTCTTGGTCTCAACCTTCCCAATTGAGATCAGAGGTAAAAAGACGAGTTACTGTCAGCAAGCTAATAAATTACACATTAACAAAGTAGAATGAGAAATATTTTAGAACTCACACTGATACTCTAAAGCTTACTAACTTTTTAAAAAGTTGATGGTCAACTTGATGGCTTAACATCCCCAAAGCCCTGCTGCTGTGAAGTTTATTGTGACTCTTAGTGACCCTCCCTCATGGCCACGGAGCTGATTCCCACTCACAATGACCCTCCAGGAAGAGTACAGCTAACTGCCCACAGCGCTTCCAAGGCTGTAATCCTGATGGACACACTGTCTCATCTTTTCCCTGCAAAATGAATGGTGGATCCAAACTGCCAATTATCCGGTTAGCAGCCCAATGATTAATCCACTAAACCACCAGAACTCCTCAGTGACCCTACAGAAGTTACCAAAAGACGAGAATGTACTTTAAAAATGAGATAAAATGAGTGCAACAATGAATGAATGGAAATAAAAAATCTCTGTAAATGTCCATTAAATAAAATAAAAAGGGGGGAAAGGATTATAAATAACACTAAAAGAACTTCCACTTCCAAAAAATAAATAAAATAAAAATGGTTATTTTATACCTAGTGGTATTGCTCTACCATGTTGATTTTCAAGCTCTTTTCTACTTTCTTCCTCATGTATCATTTCCTTACTAATGCTAGAAAAAGAAGAAACCCTTGTACCTCGGTAGGAATTAATTGTGTTACAATTGTGTGGGCACCTTTTAAAAAAATCCTCTGGATCTCCCATTAGAAATTCTAACTAAGTAGGTATAGGGTAGGCATCTGCATTTTCTTTTTTAATTTTTCAGCTGTGATGATGTCTAATTTCTTATTCTTCACTATCACAGAGCTCAGCACATTTGAAGAAAAGGGAAGGAGAAAAGTGAGGGGAAAATGCTCTGGACCCTGGTTCATGCCCTCAGGAATGGGCTCTTACTAATTTTCACCATATGAAATGGCTTACTTTATAAAAACAACTAAAATTCCCATTGGAGAGTGGTAATCCATCAAGAAGAGGGAGTCTGTGGGATATGGGCTTGGGTTGTTCGTCTACCTCTCTAGTAGGCTGAGTGCTGATTACAACATATAAAGTAAGAAAAAAAATCCCCATCTTGCTCATACTTGACTACATCTCTCAGAAATGGTAGAGTGAAGAAATGGTTGGCGATGTTCCCTGCATTAAACAGCAGCCGTCCGTCTGAGCTTCGTTTCTGTGCTGTTGCCAGGGAAATCTCACTATATTCCACCACCTGGTACACGCCATCCACGCGGCAAACCACTCCAACTGGTTCTGTGGGGTTTGTTTTCTCTACTACCTGTACATGAAAGAAAGAAAAAGAGAAAGGAAATATATATATATATTTAAAAGTTTCTTTGGAGCAATCTCACTTTTTTCAAATGCCATGTTATAGTGCTGCTTACACTGTCTCTAAGGTATTAAGGCAAGAGGAATTGTTAACTTTAAACATTCACCTAACCATCCTTAATACACGTTGACAGACTACTTTTCTGACTTCTTGTTATGTACTGTTGTTGAGTTGGATCCAACTGACCCTCCTCTTAGGTATCATCCTCTTAGGTATCATAGGTAGTAAACCACTTGGGAGAAGACTGTTCATATTTATCCCATGAAGCAGCTGGTAGATTCAAACCATACGCCTTTGGGTTGGCAGTGCAACTTCTTACCACTGTCTACTTCTCAAGTGAGTTACCTGTTGATTACAATACATAAAGTAAGAAAAGGCCTCCATCTCACCCATATTTGACTACAGCTCTCAGAAATGGTAGAGTGAAGAAAAGGTTGGCAACTCCTTACCACTAAGTCCCCAGAGCTTCCGTACCATCTAAACCAGAGTGAAATATTCCTCACACACATATAGGCCAGAGAAAATCACACAGGACTAGAAATAATGAGATGAAATTTTAGATGTCACAAATGGCTTGTTTCTCTTTTTTATAATTTAATTTAACCAAATTAAACTTTTTCTAAGATTCACAAAATGTGTAATCAAAGTAAGGCATTTTATCTCTCCTTATATATTGCTCAAATCACTAATTCACTTGAAAACAATGCCTTTTTAATTGTCATTCATGAACACAGTGTGCTATTTTATGGGCAATCTTCTCCCATAAAAGTTTACAACCTTGAAACCTGAGGGTCACTATGAACCAAAATCAGATGAACTGCAGTGAGTTCAAATGGTCAGTAGGTAAGTAGGGTCATTAGAACAGGTTCTGGGCTCAAACTTCAACTCCAGTCAGAAAAGCTCATCAACATTTGACTGCGTACTAACTACATTTTGTTTGAAGGAAGTCGATGCTTTGTTTATTATTATTAAATCAATGATTTGATAATATTTCTAGGCCACTAAAAGAAGGATGTGTGTATAAAACCAGATGGGGAATTTAAAAGTCTGTAATCTAAATGCAGACGAAATCATTCCGTTTTATGAGGAGGAATGTGGCATCAGGACTGGAGGAAGACTCATCAACAATTTATATTATATAGATGACATAATCTTGCTTGCTAAAGCTGAGGAGGACCTGAAGCACTTGCTGCAGAAAGTCAAGGATTGTAGTCTTCAATAAGGATAGAATCTTAACATTAAGAAGATAAAGATTCTCACGACTGGGCCAAGTGGAAGCACCATGATGGATAGAGAGGAGATTGAGGTTGTTAAGAATTAGAGCTTGCTCAGCTCCACAATCAACACTCCTGGCACCAGCAGTCAGGAAATCAAAAGATGAATTACATTAGGTAAATCTGTTGTCAGGGACATCTTCAGAGAACTGAGAAGCAATGATGTCAGTCTAGAGAATAAAGTGTGCCTGGTCCAGTCAATGGTCTTTGCAATTACTTGCTTTGCATAAGAGAGCTAGACAATGACTAAGGGGGACAGAAGCAGCATTGATGCCTTTGAGTTGTGGTGCTGGAGAACAGTCTTGAAAATACACTAGACTGCCAAGAAAACATATACGTCTGTCTTGGAGAGAGTGAAACCAAGTTTCTCCTTGGAGGCTAGGATTTTGAAGCTCTGTCTCACATACTTTGGGCATGTGGCCTGGAAGGACCGATCCTTAGAGAAAGACCTCATGCTCGGAAGGGCAGAGGGACAGTGCAGGAAAGGAAGACCCTAGATTAGATGGACTGATACAGTGACTGAGGCAATAGCAGTAGGTGTACTGGAGTCAGTGAGACTGGCTTAGGACACAGCAGGCTTAACAACAAAAACAAACAATGTGAAAAAAACTCACAGATAACTCTGATATCCTATGATTCTAATGCCACACAGGAATCAATGATCTAAATGAAATGTATAGGAAAAAAACAGAGAACTATACATAAAAAAAATACATCACCAAGGTCCACATAAGCTAAAAATCCAACAAGAGAACAAAAACAATAGAATCAAGAGATACCTGATGTAAGTCCTTCTTATGTAAACCAATATAAAATAAAAATTTTAAAAAAGAAAAAGATACCTGAACACTGTTTTGTTTGACCATCTAACCAATAATTCAGCATGCATCTGTATTTGTAAAAATCTGTTTCCAATTTGAAAAGTCTATCCTAAGTGCATTCTGCAGCAACTGATTTTGTAAAGTAAATACGAGTAAACAGTGTCTTCCAGACAACTGAAAGCCACTATTGAGAAGCGAGTTTACACAGCAGTTACTGACACAGTCACGGCATGTAGCACAGTGAAGCAGGATTCCATGGATACATTAAGCCTGCTCTGTAGTAGCACTGTTTGCTCTTCTGAAAAGGAGCACAGTATTCAATGAAAAGAAACTTGTCACCAAGAAAATTGATTCAATTGCATAGAAATATTACACAGCAAAATTATTTCAATCAATCAAGACCAATTTACAATTCTGGTTTGTCAAACTGCCACTACCATCACTGCTGTCTCTCCTCATTTACACTATAGAATATCTTCCTAGACAAGGAATTTGGAATACATTGCTTTCACTCCCATTAAAACAAAAACATCACTTATTTTAAAAATCTCCTCCAGACTCCTCCCAGTTAGCCAAAGAAAATGAAAAAATAATGTCACATTTTACATATACAGTTAATAATGCTTCTTCTGTCACCCTTAGTCACTGTCCAGCTCTCTTATGCATAGCAAGTAATTGCAAAGACCATTGACTAGATCAGGCACACCTTAGTCCCTAGACTGACATCATTGCTTCTCAGTATCCTGGAGATGTCCCTGACAACAGATTTACCTAATGTAATTAATTCATCTTTTGATTTCCTGACAGCTGGTGCCAAGATTGTTGACTGTGGAGCTGAGCAAGCTGTAACTGTTAACAACCCCAGTCTCTTTATGGTGCTACCAAATGGCCCAGTGGTGAGAATCTTTGTCTTCTTGATATCAAGCTTCAATCCATATTGACGACAGTTCTTGACTTTCGGTAGCAAGCGCTTCAGGTCTGCCTCAGTTTTAGCAAGCAAGGTTGTGTCATCTGCATATTATTATTAAGAATATAATTAATAAGAATATCAAGATCTCAAAATACAGGTGAAAGGTCAGTGAAAGAGAAGAGTCAAAGTGGTTGGACTGACACAATGACTAACAACAGGATCAAGCATGTCAGAGATAATGAGAATATTATTAAGTAACAAAAATTCTTACCGTTGGACCAATAGGCAACAGCATGATAGATGGAAAAAAGACTGAAATTGTCAATAACTTCATTCTAATTAGATACTCAACACCCATGGCAACAGCATTGATAAAACATGCTGTCAGAGACCTCTCCATAGTGCTAAACAGCAAGGATATCAGTTTAAAGAGTGAGGTACACCTGATCCAAGCAATGGCATTTTCAATGCTTTGGATGTATCTGAATGCTGAACAATGAATAAGGAAGATCAAAGAATTGTGCTGGCAAAGAATACTGAATATATTATGGGATGCCAAATGAACAAATATGTCTTGAAGGCAGTGCAACCACTGTGCTCGTTCAAGGCAAAGATGGTGAAACTTTGTCTCACGTCCTTTGGGCATGCTGTCAAGAAGGGACTGTTCTTGGAAAAACACATATTGGGAAAAGTCAGTTAAAGAGAGCATGACCCTCAAATAGATGGACTGACATAATGACTTCAACAAATGCACTCAAGAATGGTGGAGATCATGAAAACGGTGTAGAAAAGGCAAGGTTCTGTTGTTCATGGGGTCACTATCAGTCGCAGTCAAAATCAAGGGCACCTAACAACCTCAACAACAATTTGCAATGTTTCTAAATGTTGTTAGCATACACCAGTCTACTCATACTCTATTGTCATCTGACTAATTTTGTTTTCCACTCACAGCTATTACATTATGTGTCTAAGAACTAAACAGGGAGCTCTGCATTCCCAAAAGGACGCAGTTCTAATCTACCAGATGCTCCGTGGGAAAAGAACAGACAATATCCTCCCATGCGACAACTGCTTCTAAAAGTTGCAAGGGCAGCTATGAGTTGGCACACATCAGTGAGTCAATAAGGAAGACTAAGATTAGATTTGCCATAGAGAGCTCAGCAGACAAGTTAACATTTGCATTCCTAGGTGATAAGTTTAAAATAAAATTAACATACTAATTTGAAGTTTTGTGAGCTGCCAGCAAAGCATAACTAATCTAACACATTCGGTTTCATAATGCGATATGGTGTTAAGACAAGGAGTGGAGATATATGTGAATTCTAGTCCTGGTTTCACTAACATTTTAACCTAGGAGTTCTAAAACCACCAGAATTCAGTGTTAATATTCCTGAGATCAAAGGGCTAACTTCATGGTCACTGAGGTTCCTTCTAGATTCAGCTTTCTAATTTAGTAGCTATTTACAGTACAGTACAGATATTGATGTAGTCTGAAGAGACAGAGATCTAGTTTCAGAGTTTGACGGAATCTCATTAGGTTTATCAGGTCAAACTGCTAAGTCACAGATTTTACACTTCAGTTTGGGGCTATGACTTCACAGTAGAGGACTGACATCTTTAAAATAGAAAACATCCAACAAGAAATATGGTATGTCTCTTACAGCATGTCTTCTAATAGTCAAATATTTAAGATGTATATATAGGTGTATTTTGTCAGAAACTTGTTCAGTTTGTGCTTCTGAGAAAGGTCATATCAATATTCTCAATTTTCTTCTCTCACTATTATGGCTTCATTTTTTAAATACTTAACTACATAATCCATTTCCAACTTACTTTATTATGAACTCTAGGGTAGAAATTAATTTTATTTAACCATTATATTCTCTTACTTCTTCCCTTTCCTGACTTGAAATGCCAAAATCTCATCTAGTCATGCTTCTATACAAATGCATGAAAACTGAGGCACAAACAGATTTGTATACCAGTGTTCATAGCAGCATTATTCACCATCGTAAGAACATGGAAACAGACCAAATGTCCAACCACAAACCAACGGATTGAGAAAGTATGGTACATTCACACAATGGAATCAGGCAGGAGCAACGATTTTGTAAATTATTACCTAATTTAGGAGGGACTGGAGAGCATTATGATGAGTAAACTAACTCAGTCCCACAAGGACAAATATTGTATAAAACCATTATTGTAGAATGAGTATAAGGATCCAAGAGGGGTGGGAGAGGGTGAAAGCAGAAGGATGAGGATGCTGGGGCAGGGGGGATTAATCATGGAGTTGTACAATTTGATAGGGGCAGGTGAGGGAAATTGAAAGAATTTGTTCTTAAAAACAATGTATTTTAATTTTATAAATAAACTAGTAGAAAAATTTTTAAAATGGACTGTTTTTACTGATCATCAACATGGACTGAAGATCAACATCAAGAAAACAAAGATTCTAAAAAAAAAATAAAAAGAAAACAAAGATTCTCACCACTAGGATGATTGGCAGCACCATGAGAGATGGTGAAGAGATGGAGACTGTTTACAGCTTCAGTTTGCTTGAATATAATCCACACTCTTGGTACTAGCAGCCAGGAAATTAAAAGACAAACTGCATTGGAAAAGTCTGCTGTCAGAGACTTCTCCAAAGTACTGAAGAGCAACGATGTCAGTTGGGAGACTAAAGTGCACCTGATACAGGCCATGGTCTCTGCAATCACTTGCTATGCATCAGAGAGCTGGACAATGACTAGGGAGGATAGAAGGAGAGTTGATGCCTTTGAGCTGTGGTGCTGGAGAAGAGTATTGAACATACCATGGACTGCTAGGAGAACAAACAAGTTCGTCCTGGAGAGGGTGAAAGCAGGCTATTCCTTGGAGGCAAGGATTCTGAAGCTTCATCGGACCTACTTTGGACATGTTGCAAGGAGGGACCAGTCCTCGGAGAGGGACATCATGCTTGGGAGAGTGGAGGGACGGCACAGAAGACTCTCAATGAGATGGATTGATTCAGTGACTGGGGTATTGGGGATAGGTACATCAGAGACAGATTGGCAAGGGATATAGCAGGGTTTAGGGCTATTGTACAAAGGATTGCTATGAGTTGCAGGCAACTTGATGGCACATAACAACAATAACAACATTCTGTTGTGCTAATCTGTCATTTAATGGTGCAAGCAACACATTTAACACCCTGCTGCTGAGTCAATTCTGACTCCTAGCAATCCTTTACTGGGCTTCTGGGATGTAAACTTACGGGGGACTACTCGCCTTTCTCCTGTTGGAATGATCTTTCAGTTACCAGCCTTTTATGTTTCCCTTTATGCTACTAGGGGACAACTTGCTTGGAAAGGTAGAGAGTTGGCAAAAGATAAGAAAACCTTCAATGAGGTGAACTGATAGGGATTACAGTAATGACCTCAAGGACTGAGCCATATGTCACTAAATTGTACAGAGTTGCTATGAGTAAAAGTCTACTTCATGGCACCTAACAACAGTATCACATCCCTGTTTCCTTTTTTTCCAAATTCCATTTTAGTACTCAGTAGACTGTTTCCAACCCTCTCTTTTTAAAATCTTTGAGTACCTTTTTATAATATTTACATGTTTTTTTCTAAATTTTTCAATAACTTTTTCAATTATCCCCAAAAAGAATTTCAATAGAATTCTGATTTGTTAAGAACTGATACTTTCAAAGACTTGTCTCTTTACATTCAGAGGTCTGGCATGTTTTCTATTTTATTCTTCAAAAAACCCCAAAACTCACTGCTCACAAGACAGTTACAACTTACAGCAGTCCTTCTTCAGGCTTCTGAGGCCATAAATCATGGAGACTGCCTATCTTTCTCCTGAGGAGAGAATGGTGGATTCTAACCAACAGAAACTCAAGGCCTTTAGGGAGACAACATAACTTGCGATGGACTATGCCACCGGAGCGCCTCGTTTCATAGCTAGGTACATGTATATAGTTAGTTTTCTATCAAAGAAGTATGGCCTGCATCCTCATCTATATGACTGGGGGGGAAAAGGTAGAAAGAATATGGTCGAGGACAATCTTATGTGACATACAAACATCTTTCTGCCATAAAACTATCAGTATGTTTGTAGTCATTCAAGAAGTTCTTATTCTCCTTGTTTGTCTTATCTCCCAAATGCATGTATTAATCTTAAAAACAAGAAAAGAATATCCTGAGATATCTGTCATATGCCTTGCTGACAACTCAATCTGCTATTTCTATCATACCTCCCTTATCTACAACTCTAGTAATTTTATCACAGGAAGAAAACAAGTTAATTTGATCAAACACAAGTTGATATTTAATGACTCATGCAAGGTTAATGATTACCATTTACTTTCTCAAGTATTTCCAAACCACGCATATATGTTTTAGACTTGTTTGCTGTTGTTGATTGCTATTGAGTCGAGCACAACTCATAGTAACCCTATGAACAAAAGGCCTGAAGCCTTTCTATAACAACTGTCATTTATCAAAGTTCATAGTTTCCAGACGCATGTTGTTTAGGAAGTGGATGCCACTCCTGCTGCCAAATTAAACTTGTTTAGTACAAACAAAATATAAAATTGTGGAATCAAATATTGCTAATTTAAGAAATAAAGGGGAAATCTGCAAAGATTAAGTATAGTAGAAGCATGAATGTTTATGAACTATTAATTATACTTTATAAAAGAATCTAGAGTGGCAGTTGGAGTGTATATACTCTGTCAGAAAATACCAGTTAAAATTTTATTATAGTTGAGAAATGCATTACCTTTGCTCCACAGTCTGCACCTTTTTGAATGCAAAATCCAATGAACCGTGGATCTGCCACTTTTACTAATATGTTGTCAACACAATAGACATGAATGCTCCAAATGCCCCTTCGTTCCATATCTTCCACAATATTCTGAGCTGCAAGAGCCCGATAAAGACCACCATTCCCATCTGGGAAAGAAAACAACCCATTAGTAGCAGAGCAAAACCCCTATTGTCAGTAAAATACCAAAAGACTGTTTAATATATGCAAGGTGGAGTGACAATCTATGAAAACCACAACTTCATAATAAATGGCCAAGAAAATAAAATTAAGGAATTATTCAGATGTCATACTTCATTTTCTGAACAATACTTAGCAGAAGTACCTAGAAAATAACAATAATGCTGAAACAGGCAAACAAAAGATAATGCTTTTTAAAAAAACTGTCTCTTTTTTATAGCATTGTGAAACACAGAATCGATTACTATAAAACAAGTATTTTACAAGATCTCAAATTTTATTAGCATTATAGCTCAACACTGGTAACTTCTCCCATCACAAATATATAAGGGTCTACCATGGCTTAAACTAAATATATGTCCTCTTCCTCAACTATTTTTAGTGTTGTTTTAATGTATTTCTTCCACAGGGTAAGAAAACTAAACTCTTCCATTCAGTAAGAAGAATAAAGATGAAATGAAATTTTCACAACCTGTGAAAATTGCCAGTGTTGTTTCTTTCCTTTCAGCCTCTCTTTGTAAGTATAGATTCACACAGATAGCTCTATCTATCCATCGATGATACCACACTTGTATAGCTATACCAGCAGCACACTGTCCAGTTCCAGGATGTGCCATTAACAAATGACAATGAGCATGGGGCCTGAGGAACTGTGCAAAGTGGTGGCCCTATCATATTGCATATATGACCTTATGTCTTGCTTTCTCTTAACCAACTGAAATAATTTACATTTGTAGTTAAAGCTTCTAATTATTCTAATGTTGATTAATAGTTAATGCTAGAAGAACTATATTTATTATCACTGATTAAGCAATAAACAGTTTCTAGGTTTTCATTACCATAAATTATATAGCTATAAGCTTTACTGCACATAAAATACTGAAGAATATTCTGAACATTGCTCAAAATGTTCTCTCAAGCAGACTTCTACAAAACGCATGAGTATCCAGTTCACCATTTGCCATTTCCATTTTTTAAAAATCATTACCAATTTTTTTTAAAAGTTAAAAGTTGCTTAATATCCAAATCACAATCTTAAAAAATAAAGAAAGAACCTTATCATTAGCTTTTCTAATCATCATTAATTAAGGTGATTACAAACCCGGAGCCATAGAAACTTTGCTCTTCTCTTCCAAAATAATTTTCCCATCAAACTTCATCGCAGGCAGCATTCCCTGCTGAAAAAAGATTACATTTTCCTTTTTCAAACCAAAGTACTTATGCTTTGCAAAAAATTCCTTCGTAGATTCCATTGTTCTGCCACTAGTCATTATGTACCTTTTAAGGAAAAAAGAGAGAGAGGGGAAATAATTCTTGATGGATTATAGCAAAATAAAAGAAAATCTTCAAAAACTGTTTTTCTAGCTTGAATTTATCCTTTTCTTGGATAAGACACCATTACTAGTTTACACTAAAAGGAATTTCTTACAATAGTTATGTGTTGGGGGTATTTGCATGTGTGTGTGTGTGTGTATGTGTGTCTGTGTGTGTGTGTGTTTAATGAAACACACACACATATATTGCAGCATATTCTTCCCATTTAATATTTTTTCCCATTCATTCATTGTTGTACATTTTCCTCCCTGCCCACCCCGCCCTCCAGTTCACTTTTCCCTTTGAAAAGGAAAAAAACAAAAATCTTTCATTGTTATACAATCTTCCCCCCTAAAGTCCACAGTCCATTTTACTATGCATTTCTTTTTCTTGAACCTTGTCATGAAAATAATACCTAACCATATATTCCTTTTAAACAGTTTTCTCACTCATCTATTTCAATGCAGTATACATTATTTATCCTCTCTTTTCTTAGGCTCCTTCCAACCCGGATGTCAGTTCCATTTTATAACAATGGCACTATGCAGTATTTGTTCTTTTATGCTGAGATATTTCACTCAGCATAAAGCCCTCCAGAGTCACCCATTTTGTATATTTCATGAGTTCCTTGTTTATCAATGCAGCATAGTATTCCATTGTGTGAATATACCACAGCTCCTCTACCCATTTGTTTGCTGATGAGCATTTGGGTTGTTTCCAACTCTTTGCTACTGTGAACAAAGCAGCAATAAACATGGGTGTGGTGTGCATATATATATGCTTGGATGGCAGTTATGGTTTCTTTAGGGTATATTCCCAATAGTAGAATTGCTGGGTCAAATGGTATTTCTATTTGCAATTTTCTGAGAAACTATCACACTGCCTTCCACAGTGGTTGCACATTTTTACATTCCCACCAACAGTGAATAAAGGTTTCCGTTTCTCCACAACCTCACTAGCATTTGTTGTCTGCAACTTTTGTGTTTTTAAAAAAATCAACAAATGAAATTTAACATGCCTACTACAACAAAGAACTTGTAAATGGCTCCAGTAAGCATTTTTTATTCTATGAAATGTCTATCCAGATTAAAAATTCTAAACAAATGCAAGGAAAATTTTAACAAGAAAAATGGTTCCTTATGAATAAAGTCTACTATATTCTAATAATCTTTTTACTAAAATTTCAGAATGGAATCTGAGCTCCATTCTATGTTCAGTCTCCATTTAGAATTACAAACGTATACCCTGCAGTGTCACAAAAATATAATCCACATTGTTGTTGCTATGTGCCATCAAGTTGGAACCAAGCAAAGCTGAACCTCTAGCAGGTTTAGGAGGACACTGTCCATTTTTCTTCCATGCAGCAGATAATGGATTCGAATTGCGCACCTTTAGGATTGAACCACCAGAGCACCCTATGTAATCCACAGGACTATGGGGGGGGGGGGGGGCGAAGTGTGATCTAAAAATACTAACTAGTGACTATAATAGCTTTTGCCTTTACTAGAATGTTAACATTCAACTAGAATGTGAAATATATTCAAATGAAAATTTTTGTCTTTTACTACTACTATACAACAGATCCAAAAGCAGGCATTTCCTATTTACCTACTAAAAGAATGAAGAAAACACTATCACTGTTTACCATAGATGTTTAACAAGATATCCTGGGTGTTTTTAACTTGTATACAAAAGGTCTGATTTAGAAGATGACAAAAGAAGCAGCTAAATAAATTCTGAGTTTGGAGGAAGTGAGAGAAAGAAGCAAGCCCAACATGATAAAGGAAAGCCAGGGACCTGTAGGAACACAGATGTCCATCAAAATCTCCTTTAAGCATCAAGATGTGGGGTTAAAAAGAGTTCCACAGGGGAGCTCTGGTGGTCTAGTGGCAAGAAGCTGTACTGCAATCTCAAAGGTAAACTGTTCGAATCCACCAGATGCTCTGCTGGAGAAGAGGGGACAATTTTCTCCTGTACCAGTAAGATCTGATTTGATGGTACATGCACAAAAAATAATAAAATTTAAAATAATTAAATTTTTATAAAAAAGAGTTCCACAGTAAGCCAACTCTCATGTTGAGGACAATTAGAAACACTAGGGAAAATAAAAAAACAAACAAAAAAAAAACCCACTACTTTTAAAGCCATCAGAAAGCTAAAATAACAAGAAACTCCCATAGAAGGAAATCTTTTCACAAAAAACTGTGGATAAGTAGCTGCCTTTTCCAGAGAATCTGCTGATTTTTGTGTCCTAATTAGTGGTGAAAAATCTGGTGTTCACCCAGGCAGAAGGCTGTTCCTTGGGGACAGAAGACAGAGAAGTTTCTGTTGGTCACATGGGGCAGAAGGGACAAGACTAGAGAAACATAGCTGGTTTCCACCTCAAAACATGTGCAAATTTCCAAAGCTGCTCAAGGGGGAAGATTAAAGAGCTAAAGAAAAGCTTTTGAAAAGCAAAATTTCCCACAACTGCGTGGTGTTTACAAGACCTCATTTGAGCATCAGCTGCCATGGAGTGGTTGTGAGTCCTGTAAGTGTCAGTGTAGAACTGTACTCCAGAGGGTTTTCGGTGGCTGACTTTTCAGGTGACCACTAGATCTTTCTTTCAAGGTCTTTCTAGGGTGACTCAAAACGCCAAACTTTTGGCTAGCAATTGAACACATAAACTATTTGTGCTAACCAGAGGGTCCCTCAAAGAGGGTAAGAAACCAAGATTGCCTCACAGAAAGAAGTCAGGGGAGCATTCCATAAAGCTGTGTAGAATAAAAGGGATAAAAAAAATGCAAAATGATACTTGCAAAAGGACAGAGGGCCTGGTACTTAAGGATATCAATCTATACACTGAGAGAGAATGCTGAGCAATAGCTGAAAACAGATCTATTAAATTATCATGTAATTTCAGATGTAAAAGCTACATGGAGGGAGCTCTAGTGGCCTAGTGGCAAGAAGCTGTACTGCAATCCCAGAGGTACACTGTTCAAATCCCCCAGATGCTCTGCTGGAGAAGGAGGGACAATCTCCTCCTGTACCAGTCAGATCTGATTTGATGGTACACACACAAGCAATAAAATAAAATTAAATTAAATTTTTAAAAAAAAAGCTACGTGGAGACACCAAATATCTCTGGGAAGGAATAAAAAGGGACTGGAAATCAGAATGGCATGGGACCTCTTCAAAGCAACGCTAGAGTGAATACTAGTGGTATAATCTGCAGGGGGCTGGACTGCTAAGCATAAGTAATGCTAGAAACAATCAAGCAATGTTTTCACATTTCAGAGGGGACATTATCTTTAACCAGAGATACATACAAAATATCAATTAGTTTCTAGATCGAAGTGTAATATTAAAATGACTCAGTACTCACGGGTATTCAGATAAGCATGGAAAAACTAGATGTGTGTATATATAATGCTCGTGGCACTACAATGATCATCTTTTAGCTATAACATTTCTTTTTTGTATACATAGTAAACTCTATCTACCAAGATAATCAGCATTAACAGGAAATATGGCTGCTTATGAATAAGGTCTATGTGCATTCACATAAATCAATATATGCGCTAACATCTCCCATAGGTCATATCTTACCATGGAATACTGCATTTGTTGCCATGATATTTTTCAGCTAACTGCTGTAACTTCAGGATACGCTCTGCTTGAATCTGGAAAAGCGTTTTATGGGATGGCAGACCAACATCATACATCCCCTTTGGATATGCAACACCAAGTCTTGTCCCCTGCCCACCAGCGAGAAGAAGCACTGCTACTTTGTTCTGAGAAATCTGGAAAAGACCTACAAAAGAAAACATTTGTATCAAAAAATTGCTAGAATTCAACAGTTTAGGATTATCTCAGTGGCAGCAGTCACTGTCTACATAAGGAATAGAGTCATGGATTTATGATCTTGTTTAAAAAAAATTCCTTACCAAAGCAAACAAATTTCTAAAACTCAACCCAACCAAATACTAGCAATGAATGCTATACTTGGATAAGATAATAACATAAATTTATGGTACATCAGAAGCCAAAGATCTAAAACTTTACACATATTTTGCAAGTACTTAACTACTTATTGGATGTGACAAGTCAAGAAAAAGGTTAAAAGATGACAGATACCAGGGTGTCAAGATGAATGATGACACTGTTAAGTGACCTCCAGCCTACAAATAACTAAGATATCAATTAGCATCCAAATAAAGTAGACAAGCTACCACTCAGTAAATATAAAGAAATCTTTAATGAGGAAAGCAATACACTACAATGGTTAGGAACCCAAGTTCAGTAGTCAGGAACTGGATCTGAAATTACAACTGAATGGGTTTGGGGGAGTGTCTGCAATGGGGACTAAAGAGATTTTGCAGGGTGACTGAAATGACATATTGACGAAGGTGGTAGCTACATGGTATTCATTTTCATTAATACTCATAAAACTAGTGTTTCAATGTATAAAACTGTACTTCAATAAAACTGACTGAATCTTTTTTAATAAGTAACACAGAAGGATGAGATATTCTGTCTTTTTGCTGCTGATTTCTTTTCTCTGTCTGAAAATTGAGCTTTTACCAGCTGAATATTCCACAATCAGGAGTAACCAAGCATAATACCTAGCCAAAAGCTGTTCTTTGGGCAAAAATAAATTCAGGCTTTAATTAAAAAGAAAGGAATACAGGAAGATAAGACAGACAAAGGACCCTCAATTTGTATTAAATGTACATGCGCAGACAGTAACTGTGTCAAACACCACTCCAAGTTGAACAGTCTTGGCACCACATGAGAGAGCAGTTTGAGAACCAACATGAAAAGTGGGTCTCCAGGATACTAGAAAAACTGTAAAATTCCAAATAAAAGTAAAACAATGGCTGAGGCTTTCCATTCATGATTTTTAATTTCATAATTAGACTAAAATTTTCAGAAATGTTATAAACAAAGCCAACATGTTGCCTACATTGGAAGACACACCAGAGGGAGCAGTGGTGGCCAACAGTGATTACAATTGCTTTAAAATCTTCAAGTAATGGGGTTTATCTATTTTACTGACTACATGAGTTAGGTGTTTTTGATAGATCAGATTTTCTTAATGCTAGTCTAATAGTGCATCATGAACTTTAAAAACTATGCTAAATAAACTTATTATAAAATCAAAACTGCCCCCACTCCTGATTCTATTTTTTTTCTTCTTTAGTGAATGAATATAATCCAAGGACATTATTCAGCAACCATTCTAGCTGTTTTGTTAATTACACGATTTAAAGTCACATTATATGGTTCTATAATTTTGACCTTTGATATGAAGCTGATCTGACAGCCTACTCCACAAGGAGCTGGGTTGCTAGCCCATGTGCCATGCCACAACTCCATAGGAGAAAAAGATGGGCAATACGCTCCCGTGAGAGTCACAGGCTGAGAAACTCAATGGAGGGTCACGCTGTTATGAGTTAATTCCAACTCTATAGCCATGAGTACAAGTATAATTATCTGAGATTTAACTTCCTCTCTTCCTTCTATGCCTTGAACTAGAATTGTAATTATCTAGACAACAATTAATGTACTTTACTGAAATTTGACAATAAGAAAATAAAATCAGACGTAACTAATGCTAAAGCCAACTCTAGGGCTTCTCCACCACACCCTGCACTACCCAGGCGGTACAGGATGCAAGCTGTTTCTCTGACATATTCAAACATTTATTTAAGAGACTGCCCTCCAACTTCCTTGTCCATTATTTATTTCCTTTTTTACTAAATTCATGTATGGTGGTGCTACCTTTTTGTAATCTGCTTTATCCATCACTTTACCTGGAAAAGAAGCTGAACAGAGACGAGCCAGCCACCTATGATTCTCCAAAACTTCCCAAATACTGACATTGCTTCTAGTAGTATTCCAGGTCTAAATCTACACAGATCTATCATAACACATAAGCCCTATATCCATCATGTATTAAGAAACTGACCTAGATAAAGTACCTACAGGAATTTGAGGGAAAGTGGGGAGTAGGGAACTGTTTTGCATTTGTTCAGTTCTTGAGTTATCAAAGAAACATTTTCTAGGACATAAATTTAATTCTACTGTCAATGATTCAAAAAATGTATTTAAAATATCAGCCCACAATGTCTCACCTACACATCTAGTATGAGATTTGTTTCAGATAGTAGAACTCTTCAGAATTTAGCAAAATAATGCTGTTGCCATGTACTATGAAATCAGAACTGGTCAGATTTTGCTACCAAACAAGTTTTGTAGCTTTTAAAATTGCAGATAAAGAAGTGCTCTGTCCACTTACTACTACTACTGAACATCTTCAAAAGATGTCCTAGATAAAGATTCTAAACAGTCTTTAACGTTTGGACATTAAAGTCCTCACATGGCAAGTGTGTTCTGTTTTGCTGTTAATGTAGCTTTAGTCAGTATTCTCCCACCAGTGGCTCTGCCAGAGAAAGATGGGCAACTCACTGCAGTCTCAGAAACCTGGATCACTAGGAGGTGGAACCAACTGGAAGGCAGTGAGTCACAGTTCCTGACTATCTCATTACCACCTTCACACAAAGTTAAAAAATCACAACAGTCACTGAGAAGACCAGCTCTGCTTGCAGAGTGAGCTCCCTGTCTCAGCTCCTACTCCACAGTTCATGTTGGTTGCACCCAACATGAGGGAAGTATTTTCCACTGGTTCTAACCAGTTCTTAAGAGAATCCTCTATCAACTTCCTCTTTCCTGGGTCAGTCAACCTCCATAAAATCCCCTTTCCTGTCAGTTTTCTCATATTTCTCAATGCTAAGGCCTTGCTAACTAACTAGCAGTTAGTGATGGCGTCCCTTTTTCTTAAAACACACTTGTTTCCTCACTCTTGTCTACCATACTTTGTTCAACTCCTCTTTCCAACAGCAGACCTGATAACCCAGCTCCCACTATTTCTTAGAGTGGCGCTGGGACAATGTCAGGGCAGTTCACCATTCACATTTTATCACCATCTAATCAAAACCAATGCAACTATTTACAGCACAATCCATGGCCTTGTGATAAAGGCTACTGCATTAACCTTCACCTGCTTATACATTTTCCTTATGAATGGGCAGCAGAGAAAAACCAAAGGAAATAAGAATCCGTAGAGTATCAAGGCCAGCTGCCATTCAAGAACTAAATGCAGCCACAGCTTCTGATAGCAGCAGCAACTTGGTGAATATTCAATCACTGAACTACTCACTCATTCTGGCTATGTTGTAAATATTACACAACTTTTGCCAATTCAAATTTTTTCCAGGTGTCCAACTTGCTGACCGCAATTATAAAAACTGTGCAACTTTAGGTTGTGCAATCATACTCTCACTAAACAATGCAATCTTACTATCATTGTTACCTCTTCCTCTCTGTTCCCCGCTAGCCCTGGTAACCACTAACGAACTTTGCTCTCTATATATCTGCCTTATTTTTATATAAGTGAGATCATACAACATTTATCATTTTTGTGTCTGACTTACTACGCTCAATATACTGTATTCAAGCTCTATAAAAATGGGGTGGGGGAGATGTTTGAATTCCTCCAACCTCAGAAGAAAAAAGGTAAGAATCACTCTGAGCACCAGCCCAAACCAGAGGCAGAATAGGACATGTTCCCACTTTCCAGCCCTTTTTTACCAATTTGGAAAGCAACCTTGCCTCCCACAGTGCTCTCAACTTGTCTGTTGGGTTAGATAATTCATTGTAACGGCCACACAGAAGTCACAGGCAATAGTGACAAATATGGGATTTAATAAGGAAGTAACAGATGGCAGTTAAGGTTCAGAACTGGGCAGCCTCTCCTGAACTGGGTAAGTCTCTCAATCTTCAGCCCATTAGCCCTCAGCCTGACCTCCAGTGCTGCCCATGCCAGCATTAAAAAGCTCTTTTTCACTCTAGCAGTAATGCCCCGAGGGACTTACCTCCAACCAGTAACCCTCCAGCCTAGAAGTTCTCAGCTTTCCACCTCTATGGGCCAGGAAACTCAACTGTCCTGTCTCATTCCATTCCCTTTGTACTTTTTAGAACTGTGTGAATTCTCTAGAATAAGCATATAAGGCCCATAAAATTACTAAAAATATTACTGTACTCAATTTCAGAAAATGCAGAATAGATATTTTAAGGGAAATATGGACAACTGAGACAGTAGAGAATAGCATGAGGCCTGAGTGGGTTTTGTTTTAAAGTAGGAGGCTATTTTCAAAACACAGAGAAGAAAGGAGAATTGATGAGTCCAAATTTAGTTAGGGTCATATTATAATTCTATTCCTCCATTCTGAAGGATCCATCTAAATAGCAGTGGGTTTGGTTTTGTTAACCATGGGGAAAGACATGTTTAGGGAAAGACCACTTGGTTCAAATTTACCAGGAGTTCTGAGGGAGAAAGATGGGCATTTCCATTACACTCAATTCATAATCCCTGATAACCTACTAGAGAGTCAGCCAAGGGTTGGTTTCTATATCCTAGCAATGAGTTTTTGTTGCTACAGCACATTTGGATTAAATTTTGAGCAGGTGAATGCAGAAAAGACCATATCAGTGTTCCTATATTTTCCTCATCTCCATCCCTGGTTCAAATTTTTCTCCTAAATTGTTGTTGTTTTTAGGTGTCGTCGAGTCAAGTACAATCTCCTAAAGAAATGTCGCAATTTATTAAAAAAAAATTAAGGAAAAAGTTGCTATAGAGAAATTAAGAATTAAGTAAGAAAAGCCTAGAAATCAAGCACCAGAAATGGGGGAGGGGGGACAGGGAAGAATAGGCAACACTACAGATATCTGAGTAAAACAATCTGTCACTTTTTGGAATACCTGATTTATGAGAGTAAGAGTCAAAGTACTGTTTCATAATGCTTCTACCTCAACAATTCTAATAAATCCCCTAACAAACCACAGCACAAGTGTGTGCATGCTCAGTACCTTCACTTTCCCAGGCATGGAGCTGATCTTGATCCCTGGTGGCACTGCCCAACACCTCTCGAGGTACAGGTTCCATTCGGGCATCCACTTTGTCAGATGTCTGGCTGAATCCTTCCATGGCTTTTTGGAAAAAGAAGTCCAGCTCCTCAAAGTTCATGGCCTGGAGCTCTTCATAAAGCTCTCTCTGCTGAGCTTCATCCAGTTCATTCCAGAACTGTAGCAGGTGTTCTTGTCCAGCCTTGGACAACCTGCATTTGAGGTCATTAACATTCATAATGTCCTGGTAGTCAAGTTTTGTGTACTTTCTACACCTGTAAACCTAAAAAGAAAAAGGGTAACAGGTCAAAGTCCAACCTATATAACTTTTCCTCCTAAAGTACATTTAAAATTTTAGTGTTAAGGACTTCTGGGTAAGATAGCAGACTAGACAGATGACAGTGCAGACCCTCTTAACTAAAGACATCAGAAGACAAAGCAGCAGAGACAGGTAATTCTGGGGCCTTGAGTTAAAAAGACAAAGAAATACTTCCAATACCGACTCAAGGAAGAAACGGAAAAGAAACAGATGGAACACGGAACCATAGGTTATTTTCAAAAGCTTCTGACCTCACGGTGGGAACCTAGGAAAAGGAGTTGGTTATATCCACACCAGAAGCTACCTGGCCCCATACCGCATGTCCTCTTGAAGATCATGGTAGTGATGCTGTCCAACCACCACCCACCAGCTGCTGGCAGCATTCCCCAGCCCCATCCTGGCTCCTAAACCCAGACTCATGCCATTTTGTATCTAATGCTAAGAGCATGCCCACAGACAGCTCTTTATTTTGTATCTAATGCTGAGAGCCCACCCACAGACAAGCTCTATATCCAGAAACCTGTTCCAGAAGCTGACAGACTGTGCTGTGCCTGGCCCACAGTCAGCTCTCCTAGATTAGTGTGACTAGGATTCTGACATCTCTGACTAGGATTCTTGTCTTTCACCAAATATCCTTGTCTAGCATACACCAGGCCCACACCTGGAGCACCTTCCTTGAAGTGTATGCCTGAAGGATGTCAAGCTGGCAGAGAATATTCTTCATGCAAGTCATTTCCGACTGGTCATCCTGCTTGCACCTATTCTCCTAATTGACAAAGACACCACACCTAGCAAGGAAGACTAGCCTAGGATCCTCTGAAGTCAGCAGAAACTCTGTCATCATGTGTGTATACCTAGCCTCAACATTCCCTAGAACAAAAGTAACCGCTGGCCTGGCTCAAGCCACCGCAGATGAATAGAAACTCCAACCTGTGTATCCCAACTCCATCCTTCTGCTGGACTGGCAGACACAATGTCCCAGACCAGAAAACTTGATCCTACCCACCACACTACCACTACAGTGATGAGGTGTCCAAGTCCATGAAAAGCCATCCTTTCTTCTCTCAGTCTTTATTTCTCATAGTTTCTTGGGATTTTTGTTTGCTTGTTTATTTTATTTTTGCTATGTGCTCCTGTATGTGTGAATCTGCCCCTCCCCCCTTTCACACCTTCCACTTTCTCTTCTGTCTTTAATCCTTTCCCTTGCTGGTGTTCCTTCTCTCTGTCTGTCTCTCTCTCATTTCCCCTCTTTCTTGTCTTTCCTATTCTGATTCTACTTCACTGTGAACCCTCAGTGTTTTCCTTCTTGAGGAATTTTCTTTTTGCATCTAATCTTGTTTTTCACTTTTTTGGATTGAGTTCTGTTGCTTTAGTTTTGAGTATTTGTTCCCTTTCTTCTTTGTCCCATCTGATGACCATCCAGCTACATCGGCACTTTCTGCAGCTTCACTCATCAAGCAAAACAGAGAAAACAGTAACTCAAACCAGCTCAGTCTGTCACAACTGAGCCCTACATGCCCAGAGACGCAAACACACTACCATCCTCTATCCCACTCACCAGAAGATAGAAGGTGAAACATTTAGAATTATCAAACTAGCAAATAACACCCTCACACGGTTCAATCAGAAATATCAAAGCAAAATAATACAAATACACCACCACTACAATGTTCCACAGGCAACACAAAAAAGCAACTTAAGATGAAACCAAAAAGTGAACAAAACAGAAACAGAAAATCTTTCAGTGGAAGAAAGGTTACTGTAACTTCCTGATAAGAAATTCAAAGGAATGACAGTTAAATGTCCTCTAGATTGGAAAAAAAAAATCACAGAAAAAATTCTTTAAAATTATGCAAGATCATAGATTTGGAGCTCTGGCAGCTTAGTGCTAAGGAGCTGTCCTGCCAACACAAATGCAAGTGATCTGAATCAAGCAGCTGCCCTGCAGGGTAAAGCAACCTCCGCTCATATGGTTTAGTCTCTGAAAACCTGATGGAGGATCAGCTATCACTTGATCCAGATTCTACAAGACATTAACAACATAATATGCAAAATGAGATTTTTTAAAAAATGGAAAATTAGAAGCAATACAAAAACAGTAAATTGAAGTTCAGACTATTAAAACAAAAAAAAAATACAGGAATACTAACAAACTGGAAGAACAAGTGAGTAGAAATGAAAAGAGAGAATGCAGAATTAGTAATCTATGAGAGGAGCAATCAGAAAAAAGGAAAGAAAATTCAGAATACATTAGACTTATGTGGGCTAACATCAAAAGCAGTAATTTTCCAATAATGGAAATTTCAGAACAGGAAAGGGGGGGGAAGGACAGAAGACATTTATAAAGATTTGCAGGTAGAAAAATTCCCTAATATTATGGAAAATTAATGAGAAAATAATGCACTCAAGAAGTTGTGCTAACATGGGAATAAAACAGTAATTTATGTAGTAACTCTTAAGACATTAAAATTTCTCATAAAAATAAAAAGGGGGCTCTTTCTTTTCCTCCGCCATCATTTTTAGTGTGGCTCCGTTTTGTCTTCATTATGTCTTCTCATAAGACTTTCAGGACTAAGAGGTTCCTGGCCAAAAAACAAAAGCAGAACCAGCCCATTCCTCAGTGGATTAGAATGAAAACTGGCAATAAAATCAGGTACAACTCCAAGAGAAGACATTGGAGAAGAACCAAGCTGGGCCTCTAAGAAGTTGCACACGTGATGGCAGTGCACATAATGATCCTCGGTTCATTAGTATCGCACTATGTCAAGTTGACTGGCCATATCGGTTAATCTGATACTGATTGTCACCATCTGATCACTATCCATGGAACGTGCTTCGTTATGCACCCACATTTTCAATAAATATATGAGACGTATGGTGTAAAAAAAATAAAATAAAATAAAAAGGGGGGTAAGACTTAACACCAAAGTAGGAATGAAAAGTATGAGAAAAACCATAAGCAAAATGAATCAGCACAGAAGAGCAGATGGAACAAAGAAATCACCAGCACCCCAAGAGTGCAAAATCACTAAGAACACGAAGAAATACTCCACATGAATGAATCTAGAGTATCCTGCTAAGTTCTGTAAGTCAGGCAGGCAGGAATAATTATGGTAGAAGACGACTAAAATAAAAAGCAAAGGAAATGTTTACCCATAGACAGGTGCAATCTTGACAGGTTCATAGGCATGAGAAGGAAGGGATGGAAACAAAAATAAAAAGATAAAAACTGGGGAAAGGGAAAGGTAATATACAACAAGAGTCTGGTCTGACTTGTAATAATTATATTAATCAATTATAATTAACATTAAAAGTAAAATGTCCATGAATGATTAAATGTAAAACCAGTACACAAATATTAAAAAAAAAAAAAAACAACCCAACAACATCCATGTTAAGAAATTACTCTTGCCTTTCAGTCACATTCGTATTCGGAATAGATCAAATTTGTTGGGCAATAGTATTTTGTACCAGGTACTGCACTAAATACCTTAACCTACATTATCTCACTTCATTTTCAACAACTCTACAACATAGGTAGCAACAGTATTACTACTAGTTTATCTCTGAGGAGATAACCTCCTCAGCTAGTGGAGCCAGGATGTAAGCCCAGGCAGTCTGATTCCAGCGCTCACACTCTTTAAACGACCACATTCAGCTGCCTCTGCACTGCTGCTGCTGTCTACTTCACTGAAATACAGGATTGCTTACACTCACAGAGTTCAATCAGAAATATCAAAGCAAAATAATACAAATACACCACCACTACAATGCTCCATAGGCAGCAGGTAACTTTAAACCAATACAAAAAAGCAACATAAGACAGAACCAAAAGAAGTGACCGAAACACAGAAACAAAATCTTTCAGAGGAAGAAAGGTTACTGCAACTTCCTGATAAGAAATTCAAAAGAATGAGTTAAATGTCCTCTACGGATTTAAAAAAAAAAAAAAGTTCTCCTTTTATCTCTAACATTTAGAAATAGCTCTGCTGTATTCAGAAAAACAAGATTACCTATAATCATGGAAAGGAGTTCTAGTAGCCAAGTGGAGGAGATGCACTGCCAACCTAAAGGTGGGAAGTTCAAATTCACAAATTCCTCCTCAGAAAAAAGATGGGCAATCTTTTTCCTGTGCAGTTCACAGTCTTGGAAAACCTGCTGGAGGGTCAGCTAAGAATTGGTTCCAACTAGAAAAAAATGAATTTTTGAGATAATCATGAAAATATTGTTTCAATTGCAGCTCCCACACAGAAGCAATAAAAACATGTCCATTGATTCACTAAGAACTTATTCCGTAAGCTAAAGGTAATCACACTTCACACAAAATGATCAGTGAATAGGGCAATAATTTTAAAGAGTATTTCATACCATCATGTTAAACTGTTCAGGGCCAAAGGAGAGAAAAAAAGAGTGAAATGTTTATTCTCTTTGAATAGTATAGATAAATGCCTATGACGGTGTTGTTCAGAAAGCCTTGTCAAAGTGTCATCTAATTGGACCTCTTCCAAGAAGAGGAGAATACACAGATTAAGACACTGGGAAGATTATATATAAGATTAAGAAACAGACAAAGCAACAGTCAGGAGTGGGAACACATGTGGGGTGCAGAGCAGGAAATACATTTTAGATTCTTTGAAGAGTGCAAAATAAAGTAGTGACAGCCTATATCGCAAAGTGCATTTGAAACTAAGCAGAAGGATTCATATCTAACACTGTAAGTACAGTTGACCCTTGAACAACTTGGGGGTTAGGAGCGCTGACCTCCTCCCAAACAGTAGAAAATCCATTGTATAACTGTTGATCCTTGAATATTGTAGATTTGAACTGCACAGCCCATTTACATATGGATTTTGTTCTCTATAGCTCAGATTTTTCCAGTATCCATTTAAAGAGCCCTGTGATGCAGAGGAAAAAACTTTTCAGGTTCAGATGAGTTACATCAAGAATATCATTAAGTACGAGGG